ATCTGTACCAAAGCCCCAGGAGGGATCAGTACCAAATTCCCAGGAGGGATCTGTACCAAAGCCCCAGGAGGGATCAGTACCAAATTCCCAGGAGGTATCTGTACCAAAGCCCCAGGAGGGATCAGTACCAAAGTCCCAGGAGGGATCTGTACCAAAGCCCCAGGAGAGGTCTGTACCAAAGCCCCTGGAGGGATTTGTACCAAAGCCCCAGGAAGAGTCTGTACCAAAGCCCCTTGAGGGATCTGTACCAAAGCCCCAGGAGGGATCTGTACCAAAGTCCCAGGAGGAGTCTGTACCAAAGCCCCAGGAGGGATCTGTACCAAAGCCCCAGGAGCGGTCTATACCAAAGTCCCAGGAGGGATCTGTACCAAAGTCCCAGGAGGGGTCTCTACCAAAGCCCCAGGAGGGATCTGTACCAAAGCCCCAGGAGCAGTCTATACCAAAGTCCCAGGAGGGATCTGTACCAAAGCCCCAGGAGGGGTCTGTACCAAAGTCCCAGGAGGGATCTGTACCAAAGCCCCAGGAGCGGTCTATACCAAAGTCCCAGGAGGGATCTGTACCAAAGCCCCAGGAGGGGTCTGTACCAAAGCCCCAGGAGCGGTCTGTACCAAAGCTCCAGGAGGGGTCTGTACCAAAGCCCCAGGAGAGGTCTGTACCAAAGCTCCAGGAGGGGTCTGTACCAAAGTCCCTGGAGGGATCTGTACAAAAGCCCCTGGAGGGGTCTGTACCAAAGTCCCTGGAGGGATCTGTACAAAAGCCCCAGGAGGGGTCTGTACCAAAGCCCCAGTACAGCTAGCAGTTCCTTTTCTTTTTTCCGTCTCGCTCCTCACAGCTGCACGTTTGAACGCAGGCCGAGGGCCTGACAGGGTTGCTGCTGGATGACTGTATTAGCTCTCAGGAGTATATGGCTTGATGGGCTAGCGGCCGGCCAAGAGGATTAGAAAAGAAACTTTAAATCTTACTCTAGTTATGTATTATAATATTAAAAAAAACTTAATATGCAAACAGCAGTGTCTTGTTAATCTTTCAGTGTTGTATCCATCTTGGGTTGAAATTTTTGCATCATTATACCAAACACTGTTTTATTGCCTTGGGCATAATACCTTACTGTACAGTATATGCATTGGCCATCTACAGCTAGAGATATGAGGAATGGAATCTTAAATATTATATGATGATGTCATCATTCCATGGTAACCTGCCAACTTGTTTACTTCTGAATCTCATGAACCTCATTGTTCTTCTGAGCATCCTGGTGAGTGGACGTGGTCTGTGAGTGTTAGAACACTGGTTTAATGTATTGATGGATGTTAAAGTTAAAACATCAGGCAAGAATGCAGAGACAATATTAAAGAAAGAAGAGGCACTGAAACAGAGCAATACAATGAAGGTGGAGGAAGCAACAACGATGGAAGAGAGAGTGGTAGAGAAAATGGAGGACAAGACCAGATCTGGCTCTACACCAAGGGTGTGTGGAAATGCCCAGTATTAAATGGCTGTTTTTAAACACCTGCATCTTCATATAAAACAGGTTATTTCTAACAACTTGCTTTGTCTTAAGCCAGGCTGACCGAACTGAAAAGTATGGAGACTTTAATCCGCAGCCCCAGAATAGAGCTGGGGAAATTTTAGCAGACAAAGGCCTGAGCTAAGAAACGGCAGGGACAGGCCAAAGGTAATGTCCTGCATTAAAGGGGCACTGAATTGTTTTTTAACACCTGCATCTGTATATAAAATGGACAACTACTATGAAATTGCCTTGTCTTATAACAGGGAGACCAGACTGAATGGGGATATTCCAATCAGCTGCCCCAGAATGAAGCTGGAGGCTTTTCTGGTAGCCGAAGGCCTCAGCTCAAGGACGGGAGAGACAGGCCACTCCCCCACGAGGAGGTGGAAGCCATGAGGAAGAGGTCCCAGCTAGTCTTCCTCGAGAGGATGCATAGGGAAGCAGCTAAGCTCAATGGCTGCCACCCTCGGCAATCGGAGGGAGGCCAAAGGCGCCCTGTATCGGAGCAGGAGCTCCTATCAAGGATGCATGGACTGATGGGCTGGAGCTGGGGAAGGAGGGTTAAAAAGGGAACTGCTTAAATCTTTATGTATTATAATAAAACAAGTTTGTAATATTCAGACATCAGTGTCCTGGTAATCTTTCATTGTTATATCTGTCTTCGGCTAAAATATTTGCATAATTAGGTTAAATTGCAGGGATCTCCAATTCCAGTCCTGGGGGGCCAGAATCCACCACAGTTTACAGATTTCCCTGCTCAAACACACCCTGATCAGCTGTTTAGCAGGTTTAGTAGGTGTGTCTGAGCAGGTAAGTCTGCAAACGGTGTTGCAGTCGGGCCCCACCAGGACCGGAATTAGGGAGCCCTGGGATAAAGCACTATCCTTAATTAACGTCGATAAACCATTCTTCCGAGCTACATGTGTTTTTGTTTTGCATTGTATTGCACATGAAACCAGCGGTCGCCAAGTGGTCGATTGCGATCTGCAACCCCTCAATAAAAATTGGGGCGGGGGGGAAGCACTACCACCTGACCCGGTCATCAGATACTTTTACTTTACTGACACTATCTGATAGAGCCCCTGATTATTTTCTACGTAAGCTTAGCTATCAATTTAAGTAAGGATGGAGTCCCCATTTTTAATCACAACACCGATCAGTACATCCATGGAGAAGTATACTGATAATTATTATACAATTTATTTAATTTATTTCTGCCATTTAATTTCAAAATAGTAGTGTTTCCATGTTCTCGTGCAACACATTCAAAAATATATTTGTTGGAACCTCAAAACACCCATCACATGCCTCATCTGGGCGTAATCTGTCTGACGTGTGGTGGGTGTCTTTACTTCATCGTGTTATAATAATATTTATTGTTAAATATCATGATAGAGGGCTTTAGATAACCTTTTCCTCGTAATGGGCGTCAATGGAGAGGAAAATATATCTGAGAGGAATTCGGTGATTATTGGTCGCTGTTTTGGTACGTTAAACCACATTAAGCTTTTTCACATTAAGCGTTTTATAATGTCCCTATTCTGCCTATTCAAACTACGGTTCAGCATGTTTCACATCGATTTCCAGCATCACAGACGCAAGCTATTAGCTAGCTAGCAAATGCTACTGCGGTCCCATCCATATATTATTATACCACAGCTGGTAACTTTACAAATTGTATGTCTATTGCTTCTGCATGCATCTTACATCGTCAGAATGAACCTGCACCACGAAAGGGGAAAACGTTGTTGTCGTTCCGACAGAATGTAGTTTGTGCTATGGTTTACACATGTTAATCTGAAAATCTACAATAAGTTAAACAATGATCAGTGTGGTTTTGCTAAAATCATTTCTTAAAGGTTTTTTATTGCTTTAAAGTGCTCTTAACAGAAGGAAAATGCTTTCTTATATGAAGTCACTGAGGTTACAATAAGGCAGCTTTCCCTAGCAAAGTCACTGGATGAAATAACCAATCAACCCTATTTTAAGTTGCTGAACAGAAAACCAAGTGTTTGCTATAGAGAAAGATTCAGTTTTATAGTTTGTAAAAAAAATAAAAAAAATTCTAGAAGGCTGTGTTGTGGTTTTGCAGACTCAATGTTTTGGGGCCAAGTCTTTTTGAATAGAGGTCCTTTGTGAAGACTTTTGTTTGAGTTTCTCATAGGAAAAGACTTGAATGACAGATGCTTTTCCAAACACCAGCAGCTGGCTGGATCGGTGCAAGCAAGCCTCCAGCCATGTGCATTGTTGTACACAAAGATAGTGCTGTGATAAGGAATTCTAAAATGTTTATTATCAACAGCTGTGATTTGGGTCCTTTTTTATTTAAAAAAAGCCCGAAATGACTGTTCTGCCAACTGCTATTTACACTTAAGTGCCACAGAGTGGACTGGAGGTGCAGTGCAGCTGGGTTGAATCAAACAAAGGCAATTTATTTCTTTTAAAAACTCAATGCACAATGAATCAATCTCCCACCCTCCCCAAGAAAGCAAACTCAAAACAATGCAAAGATACAATAATTAAAATAAAATGAAAACACGGAAAAAGAAAAACAGGCATTTTGACTAGCGCTATGATTTCCTGTAGGGGCCCAGAGATGCCTGTGTTTCAGGCCGGACAGAGTCAGCTGGCTCTCATTAACTGAGGTGTCTGTCTGTAGACATCACCAAAACAGGCCCTGCTCCATTATTGAAACTCCCACTGCCATTCAGCTCAAACTAACATGTTTCAGCAATCAGATAGAGAATCTGGATTCCAAGTGGTCTCCTTACCTTCACCGAGGACTGATTATGCTTGGTTGGAGAGTTGGAGATTCAGAAGATAGGAACTTTAAATCTCTATTACCCATAGCAGCTCTATGAAAGACCTGAAGAATCCTGGAGATTAAAGTTTCATCATATTTTAAAGCTATATTTCTTAGTCTTGTTGAACAAGACTTATTTTCTCCAGCTTTTTGGACTGTTCTCATTTTTTAATTATGTGTTGTAGTGCTCTGTTTCTTCGTCATGGTCAATAAAGAAAATATCAAATTGTTAAAGGGACTAATTGATGAAAAATCCTAGCAATTAGCAGTGCTTTGATACGGACAATAGGGATCTTTTTAGTTGATGAATGGCTTTATGTGGGGTAGTGCAGTGGTGCAGTGGTGCAGTGCTTAACACTGTCACCTCACACCTCTGCGACCAGGGTCTGTGTCTCCACCGTGGCTCCAAGTGTGTGGAGTTTGCATGTTCTCTCCATGTCGTCATGGGGTTTCCTCTGGGTCCCCTGCTTTCCACTTACGTTCCAAAAACGTGCTGAGTTACCAAATTGAGCCTGTGTGAGTGACTGGTGTGTGAGTGAATGGTGTGTGAGTGACTGGTGTGTGAGTGACTGGTGTGTGAGTGAATGGTGTGTGAGTGACTGGTGTGT